ATGGGAGATTTCGGCTGGGCCACCTTCTCCAAAGCCTCCACCTTCGAGGCTGCCAGCAGCGGATTGCAGGTTTCTCCTTGTGCCCTGGCGCTGTCGACCAGCGCCAACGCCTGCCTCTCCGAGACCGGCGTCTGGGGGGCGCCGGTGCCGCTGGGCGCGGCGGTCGTCGCCGGGGGCCTGGGTGTCCTGCTCGGCGTCCTCGCGGTGCTGCTGGTGCAGGTGACCGTCTGCACGTGCCTGGTGTCGGTGCGGATTGGCCTGTGGGGTCTTTGGAAGGCCGCGCCGGCGCCTCCGCGAGCCGAGCGGCCGGAGCAGCTGGCGCCCGTCGTGGACGCGCCCGTGCAGGTGCAGCTAGCGCTTCAGCATGCCGGCCAAGTCGCTGGTGCGCCGGGCGCTCAACCTGAAGGCAGGGGACGTAGTGTTCCTCGACTACGGGGAGGCAGAGGAACCGTGGCATGAGAGGCTGATCCTCGCGTCTTTGGGCGGGGCGAGGTATCTGGTGCTGACCCCCGACGAGGACATGTACGAGGAGGAGATCGACACGCGCAGCGTGGCCGACTTCCGGCAGGCGGGCCCGCGGGGCGGCTTGCCGGCCGGCCTTGGAGCAGCAAAGGGCCAGCCGGTCTACCGCTTCACGGATCGGCCGCGCGGCGCTGCGCTGCAGTCGTGGATCGACGCGGCGGAGGAGCAGGCCGTGGAGCTGCGCGCGGCGCGGGGGCTCGCCGAGGAGCCTGAGCCTCCGCCCTTGGCTGACGGGGGCGCGCCCTCGGGGGCGGGCGCCGCGGGCTCCGGCCTGACTGGCGAGCGGGCCGACTGGATCTGCGTGGTCCCCGAGGGCGACGTCAAGCGGGGCGCGGTGTACTCGCTCCCGGACTCGCTCGACACGCCGTCGGAGGACTTCGTGGCGTTCGGGCAGCACGGGCTCTACGACCTGGGCCGTCGCGGCAAGTCGGCGGTCCTGGTCAGGCTGGCGCCGGGCGAGACCGCGGACGAGGCCTTGCGGACCTTCGTGGCGACCGCGGTGCCGGACGCTGTCGGGGGGACGCGGACGCCGCCACCCGCCGAGGACGCCCGCACACTGGCCATCAAGCGGGACGCGGCCGGCCGCCGCTTTCGGGATCTGAAGAGCGTGGCGGACTCGTCGGAGCAGTGCGAGTTCGAGGACTGGGCGCTGTCGGGCCCCCGCACTGCCTCGTACGTGGTGAAGGAGATTGCCAAGCAAAGCGGGGGCCCGGTCCAGCGTCACACCACGTGGAAGCACGAGAACAAGCTCAACGATGACGAGCATAGCGTGGTGGCCCACGAGATGCTGTCGGAGATTTTGGAGTTGGCTTGCACCTACGACCAGGTCGACGTGGCCAACCTGGCGAGCATGGGGGCGCTCGCGAGGCACCTGCAGTTCCTGGAGCACAAGGTCAAGAAGAAGAAGGAGACGATCAAGGATTTCGATTCCCAGGACTACTACCTGGGACGCACCAGGAGGACGGGCGGGGCTATCATCAGCCCGGAGCTGCTGAAGTGGGTCGCGGAGTCCGCTGCCCGGAGGAGGAGGAGCGCAAGGCTGCGGAGGAGCGTGCTCTGGCGCGCGCTCCTCCGAAGAAGTCATGATGGGCTTCGAGGCTGGGAGTTGGCCGTACCCAGCCGGTGCCACCAGGCCGCTGGAGCGCATGGTGCCGAGGGATCTGCTGCCCTTGCCTTTGGTACCCGTGCCGCCGGCTCGGGGCGCGCGGGCGTTGCCGCGCCGCTCCGCCCAGAGGATCGGCCGCAGGTCTGCTGCGGGCCGCCGTGTGAATGACTGCATCGCCGCCCTGAACAACTTGCACGGGGAGGGCGACTTTTGCTCGAAGGCCCGTCTTTCGGAGGCGCAATTTTCTGCTGTGGACATGCTCTGGCAGGCCGCGTCGGACGACAAGCCGCCGGACGACGCCCCCAGCCCCGAGGCAGCCCTCGTGGAGTTGCTCGGCATGGGTAGTCTGGGCTATGGCCCCGACGGCCCCACTGTGGTTGCGCCGTATGATCGCGGCCTGGTTTCGTGGCCTGAGTCGGCGGGCTGCGTCGGCTTGCTGGAGGTGCTGCCGGAGCCAGACCGCCAGGGGGTGATCGACGGTAAGAATTCGATGATGCTTCGCGCTGAAGAGGTTCGCCCAGGAGCCACCAAGGTGTACTGGGATAAGACCTTGCAATCCGACACAGACGAGTACCAGCGGTTCGTGCAGGACCTGCTGGCCCGCGACATGGTGGAGCTGCGGACTCGTCGCGATTTTGAAGTGGGAGTCTTCTTCGTGAAGAAGTCGGGCCGCCTGAGGCTCATTGTGGACGCTCGGGCTGTCAACCAGGCGCTGAAGCGGCCGCCGACGATTCACATGGCGCCCACCGCGGCGCTAGTGAACATGGAGGTCGAGGACGGCGCCCAGCTGGAGTTCTCGATCCAGGACATCGCGGACTGCTTCTACCAGTTCCGCGTGCCGGACTACATGGTGCCGTGGTTCGGCATGCGCCCGCTCAGAGCGAGGCAGCTGGGCGTGAAGGTGGTCGACGGCCTCGCGGTCTCAGAGGGGGCGTGGGTCTACCCGTGCCTGCGGGTGCTGCCCGTGGGCTTCGCGTGGGCCATGCGCTGGACGCAGCAGGCGCACCGCGAGCTGCTGCGGCGGGGAGGCCTCGGTGGCATCGAGAGCGAGCTGGTGGACAGGCAGATCGCTCCGAGCGTGGACTCTCCTCAGGTGCCGAGGGTCGTCTACGTGGACAACGAGATCTTCGTCTCGTCGCGACCGGGCGCCACCCGGGGTGCGAGGAGGCAGGCAGCCAAGGTGATGACCGAGGCCGGGCTGCCACTGCACGAGGTCGAGGAGAGCAAGACGGTCGTGGAGGCGCTGGGCCTGGAGCTGGACGGCCTCAAGCTGCGGGCCCGGCTGGCGCGGGCCAAGCGCTGGAGGCTCGGGCTGGGCACCCAGGCGCTCCTGCGGCGCCGGCGCGTGGCTGGCCGGGAGGTCGAGCAGAGCCATGCCATGCTGCTGAATCGCCCCGCTTTGTGCGTCTTCCGGTCGGCCTACGACTTTGCCCGGAAGCACTGCAGGGTGCCCGTGCCGCTCCGGCCCTCGGTGCGGCAGGAGCTGGCCAACGCGCTGCACCTCATGCCGCTGCTGGCCGTCCAGTTCGATCTGCCGTGGTCCGGGCGCGTCACCTGCTCCGATGCCACGCTGCGCGGCTATGCGGTGCAGGAAGCCGACATGGAGCCGCCGGCCGTGCGGGAGGTCGGGCGCTGGAGTGAGCGCTGGCGCTTTCGCATCCAGTCAGCCTTGCGCCCGCGGGAGGCAGCTCTGCTCGAGCGCTCGGGCGAGAGTCAACACGAGCGACCTCTACCTCCTCCTCCGCCGGGGCTCCCGGGTGCTGACCCCATGGGCCCCCAAGGTTTACATCATGTACACCCAGCTCTGCCTCTACGGGTTCCTGAAGGCCTCAGTGGTGCCCCTCGTCGTCAAGTGATTCGGGATTTACCTTTGGCTGGGGCTTCTGGGGCCGCTGGGGCCGCTGCTGAGGGCTGCTTGGGCGAGGAGTCAGGTTATCCAGCAGGTTTCCTAGGATACCTCATCGACGGGGACGTGGACATCAGCATCAATCGGGAGTTCCCGGAGATCCCCAAGGGGTTCATCAGCGAGGGCTCGTGGAGGACCACCCAGGCAAGAAGATATCATAGGAGAGAGGCCATCCATCTTAAGGAGCTCAGGGCCGTGCTGTTCGGGTGGAGGCGTAAGTGTCGTCAAGCTAGATACCATCGTCATCGCCATTTGTTTCTGTGCGACAACATGGGTATGGTCCTGAGCCTCGAGAAGGGCCGAGCGGTGTCATTTCCGGTGCTGGTTCTGCTCAGAAAGTGGGCCGCCTTGTCGCTGGCCTCCTTCTCTCGCACCAGCGTGCGCTGGGTGGCCAGCGAGCTCAACCCAGCTGATGAGCCTAGCCGATGGTTCGACTCGCCTGCTGAGAAGGCGGCTGCTGCTGCGCTGGGCGCCTGGCGACGCCGGCCCGCAGGAGAGGCCGCCGAGGCATGCTCGAGTGCTTCCCGAGAGGGATGGTGCGCGCGGGCTTGGCAGCCCCCCGCGCGAGAGGGTGCTGCGGAGGAGCGGCGCCTTGTCAGAGAGCCACAGGCTGCCGCCCCGCCGTCTGCCTGCCCCAGCCCCTGTGGTCAGAGCGGCAGCGGGCCAGGCATCCTCGACCGAGCGGCGGCTGCTTTCATCGACGAGGTCTCGCCGATCCCGCGTGCCCCGCCGCGACCGCCCTCCCCCACCAGCGTTCGCGCGAGCGATCGAGGCGGCGAGGGCGCGGTCGGTCGGGACTGGTGGACTCACGACGCTGGAGCAGGAGAGCATCACCCAGAAGACGAGGCAGGACTACTCGAGGAGGCTGGAGCGGTTCGACGTCTTCTGCAAGACCCACGGACTCACCACGGCGAGCGACGTCGAGCTGGAGGAGGCCGTGGTGGAGTACATGGAGCTGCAGTTCAGCCGGGGGGAGCCGTCGAACAGCGGGGCCAAGCTGCTGGCCGCGATAGGGCATCGCGACCCAAGGCTGCACCACGCGGGCAGGCTGCTGAAGCTGCCCCGCGTGGCGAGGGCGCTGCAGGGCTGGCGGAGGCTGGTGCCGCCGCTGACGCGGGCGCCCGCGCCTTGGGCGGCGGTGGCGGCCATCGCGGTGGCCCTGATCTACCTCGGCCAGCGACGCGCGGCCCTCGGCGTGGTGCTCGCGGCGGACGCCTACCTGCGCCCAGGGGAGCTGCTGACCCTCCGGGCGGACCACGCGGTGCCGGCGCAGCCGCATGCCGGGGGGGACTACCGCTTCACGTCCCTGGTGCTGAGGCCCGAGGAGGAGCTGCAGTCAACCAAGACCAGGGGCTTCAACGACTCGATCCTGCTCGACAGCCCCGCAAGGTCTTTTCTCGGGCCCCTGCTGGAGCAGGTCGCATTCCAGTCGCAGCCGATGGAGCTCCTCTTTCCGTGGTCGGGCGCGGCCTTCAATGCCATGTTCAAGGAGGCAGCCGCGCTCGTCGGGCTCGAGAGCTGGGAGTTGACGCCGTACATCCTTCGCCACTCCGGGCCGTCTCACGATTGGCTCACCAAGGCAAGGAGCTTGGAGGCCATCAAGCGCCGGGGCCGCTGGGCGTCCGACCTCAGCGTCAGGCGCTACGAGAAGGGCTCCAGGGTGATGCGCCGCCTGGCCTCGCTC